CGTTTCATCGTGACAGGCTGGCGGCTCGCCTTCTCTGCCGGCATCGCCATCGGCCAATTCACGGGCACACGGCTCAGGGTTTGGGGTTGAGGGTTGGGAGCTTGAAAGGCCAAAGCTCTCCAAATGGGGATCGTGTAGGCCAAGCCTTGCGAACCGCAGCAAGGTAACCCTAAACCCCGAGACCCGAGCTGTAAACCCTTGTCCACAGGCTGGCGGCATGGTGTCGCCGTCGGCCAGATCACAGGCAGTCGTTGAAACAACCAAATGCCCGCAACACATACCTCGAACCCAAATCGCAAGCCACAAGCCGTGAAACCCAAGCCCAACATCGTGTGCACGCCCCTGACAAAACAGTACCGCTCACGGCCCAGGCCCTCAATCCCAAACCAAGACATTGCTGTGAGCTGCAAAGCACAAACCCCCCTCCCACAGGCTGGCGGTTCGCCTTCTGTGCCGCCATCGCCGTCGGCCAATTCACGGGCACGCGGCTCAGGGTTTGGGGTTGAGGGCTGGGAGTTTGAAAAGGCCAATGCTCTCCAAACGGGGATCGTGTAGGGTCTCTTACACTTTGGACTTTGACTTCAGAGGAGCTTCTGAATCTCCAAAGACTGGCAGACCTGCAGATCAGCCGTATGCCGTGCACGTGCAAGGCAACCCCAAACCCCAAGACCCAAAGTGAAGACCCCTCCTTGTCCACAGGCTGGCATGGTGTCGCCGTCGGCCAGATCACAGGCAGTCGTTGAAATGACCAACTGCCCGCAATACATACCTCGAGCTGAAACCCAAGCCCAACATCGTGTGCACGCCCCCGACAAAACAGTACTGCTCACGGCCCAGGCCCTCAATCCCAAACCAAGAGTTTGAGAGCTGCGAGCACAAACCCCCCTCCCACAGGCTGGCGGTTCGCCTTCTCTGCCGCCATCGCCGTCGGCCAATTCACGGGCACGCGGCTCAGGGTTTGGGGTTGAGGGCTGGGAGTTTGAAAAGGCCAAAGCTCTCCAAACGGGGATCGTGTAGTGTCTCTTACACTTTGGACTTTGACTTCAGAGGAGCTTCTGAATCTCCAAAGACTTGCGAACCTGCAGATCAGCCGTATGCCGTGCATGTGCATGGCAACCCCAAACCCCAAGACCCAAAGTGTAGACCCCTCCTTGTCCACAGGCTGGCATGGTGTCGCCCTCGGCCAGATCACAGGCAGTCGTTGAAATGACCAAAAGCCTGGAACACCAAACTTTAGACAAAAGCGCTAAGCCACAAACCCCAAACTTTCCTGAAACCTGGAACCCAAATCGCAAGCCATCAGCTCTGAAACCGTTTCATCGTGACAGGCTGGCGGCTCGCCTTCTCTGCCGGCATCGCCATCGGCCAACTCACGGGCACACGGCTCAGGGTTTGGGGTTGAGGGTTGGGAGCTTGAAAGGCCAAAGCTCTCCAAATTGGGATCGTGTAGGCCAAGCCTTGCGAACCGCAGCAAGGTAACCCTAAACCCCGAGACCCGAGCTGTAAACCCTTGTCCACAGGCTGGCGGCATGGTGTCGCCGTCGGCCAGATCACAGGCAGTCGTTGAAACAACCAAATGCCCGCAACACATACCTCGAACCCAAATCGCAAGCCACAAGCCGTGAAACCCAAGCCCAACATCGTGTGCACGCCCCTGACAAAACAGTACCGCTCACGGCCCAGGCCCTCAATCCCAAACCAAGACTTTGCTGTGAGCTGCAAAGCACAAACCCCCCTCCCACAGGCTGGCGGTTCGCCTTCTGTGCCGCCATCGCCGTCGGCCAATTCACGGGCACGCGGCTCAGGGTTTGGGGTTGAGGGCTGGGGTTTCAGACCAAATTTCCTAAATCTCTTACGCTTCGGACTTTTTTCATTGCAAAGCCTTCTGAATCTCTGAGCCCGCACATCAGCCACAGTGTGGCTGATCTTTCAGCACGGATAGGCCCTGAACGTCCCTAAACCTAAGATGTAGCCGTGAAACCCCGCAAGCCAGGCTGGCAGCAAGCATGCCCTGCGGTCGCCATCGGCTAAGTCGCAGGCTACGGATCCAAATGCTCGGAATCCCGTAGGAAAGGTATTCAGTGACCCCTGCCTTTGGCCCCTTTTAGCCCCCTAGACAGCCCTGGAAGCCATTCTACAGCCCTTGAAAAGACAACTGAGGTCTTATCCTCACCCTTCCACGTGTTTGGTCTACTTCGTAGCGCCAGCGCGTTCTTCAGCTTTGGCGCGCCGTGCAGCCCGAAACCTCGTCCCTTCTAGGCCTCCAGCCCGGTTCTTGGCGTCTCGCTCCGCCACAGTCTGGCGCAGCACCCACGCTCGTTGCTACCGAGTAGAGGAGCCCAAACAGATCAAACCTAGAGGTTACGACCGAGCGGCTCGAGCGAGGAAAACTTAGTGACCCGAACCCGCAGGTTGTAGGCCATAAGCCCCAAAACCACTCCACAGGCTGGCACGCCCACGCCACTGTCGCCGTCGGCCAAGTCGCAGGCTACGGGGACACTTGCGGCCATCCCCAATCCCAAGCAGCCCAAGCGCAACTGAACCTTTCAAACCTCCAAAGCACCAAACCAGATAACATAACCCGACCTGAACAGTCGAAGCTGGTTATCGTGCTCTTTAAACAGTCCGGGGATTTATATGGCTTTCCTCGGGAGGAGATTGCAAATTTAAAAGGGATCCATACGATTTGGAAAGGGATGAGGTTCCATGCGTCTCAAAGGGATCCAGGATCCACGCAGTTTATTTGAAGTTACAAGGGATCCATATGGTTTTTCGAAATCCAGCGCGGGGCCAGGACATTGAAGCGGGGCCCAAAACAGTGCCTGTTATTCGAGGTTGGGCTGGCTCCTGGACCATCCCTTTGCCGGGTTGATGGAGACAATGTTTTTTAACATGTGTCTTTTTCAGTGGATGTCGGGTTTTTCGGGGTCTTGGAAAGAAGGCCTGCAAGATTCAGAGGCCCGGCCTTTAAGCCGCGAGGCCAGGGCATCGGTTTCAAGTTGGCTTCAAAAGTGGAAAGGTCTCTTTCCACACGGGTAGATGCTCTCCGTCCCAAACCAAGAAACCCTAAACCCTGAGCCCTGTCTCCCAAACCCTCAGGCCTCGCCCTGAACTTCCCTATCATGCTAGACCCGCCCTCGACCCCTCCACAGGCCAGTGGCCGGTCGGTACCGCCATCGCCGTCGGCCAAGTCACAGGCAATGGGGCACTTAACCTTAAAGGTCCTAAACCTCAAGCCGCCATCTCCGGACGCCCAAAGGGCCTCCGCAGCCTCCCCCTCTCAAGGCGTTTCAGAAGCTTTGAGGATCAGGGCCCTTTGCATGTCCGTTTAGGGCTTGGCTGGTGCCACTCAATTTCGTTTTCAGGGTCATGCCGAGCCTTGATTCACCGGAATTCACCGTCTCCAAGTCTGCTCTGCGCTGCGGCTGGAGCCCATCGGCTGCGCCAGTCGGCTACGCCAGCAGCTCGAAGCCTCGTCTCTACTCTCGCAACTGCCCTGCGAAGTACGCTCCATAGACTTAAATCCCAAACCCTGACCTCAAAAATGCTCAACCCCCAAACCCACAACCCCAAGCCCTTCCCACAGGTTGGCGGCTCGCCTTCTTTGCCGCCCTCGCCATCGGCCAGGTCTCATGCCCAGGCGTCGGCGGTTTCGGAGATGGCCAACGAGGCTCAGGGATGTGGGGATGTTTCGGGTAGGATTAGGGCCACCGCCTCCAATAGGGATTCTATGCTTCAATGTGGATTTATTTGTTCTGCATTCGGTATATGAAAATGGGACCAATTCGTGTGCGTAGAAAGAGCTTTGCTGACCGGAGAGTTGTGCTTGGGGTTCTTGTTGACCGGGCTTCTGCAAGCTACCCTGGCTGCGCGGGTAAACAAGCGTAGGGTTCGACGCCGCGCCCTGCCAGGGCCAGCTTTAATATTCCCTATTCACTCGTTCAGGGACGCGTTGCTCAGGCCACTGAACATGTTAACGGTCAACGTAAGTCGAAGGTTACAATTCTCGGAGACAGCACACTTGCCACCTCGCATTCTTGTGGAACAGTTGTGAACGAACAGTCACGAGATAAAGCTTGGGCGTGTGGAAGCCAAGCGGCTATATAGATTTGCCGTAGGAAATGAGATCCGGTCCCTTACAGCACTAGGTGGCTTCGGCAGGCATGCCCGCGCTAGTCTGCCGAGCTGTCGTTGCACTGGGTGCCAGCTCGCACCTCTACAGCGCTAAAGCCAGAAAGACTCCGATATCCTTATGCCCTCCAAGGCTGAACCCAAACCCTAAATTCTATCCTGTGCTCCAAGCCCCTTTTTTGTCTGCGGAAGGCAGCCTTCGAAGCTGTTCCAGCAACTGAGGCGCTTCGTTTGGAGGGTTGTGGGTTTGTAGTGTCCAAGCGGGTTTTGGATTTAGAGCCTCGTGTTTTTCGGCGACTACACAGGTCTCGCTGGGTGTTGAGTCCGATTCACAAGCTTGGAATGTTTTCCATTATTTGCTCACCACGAACCCGAAAGCAGAGAGCTAAGCCCTTGAGCCTTCAGAAGCCCTGAACAACATCAATCAGAACCCTCTGCTAGACTTAAGACCCACGGAAGCATGTGCCCCCCTGCATCGAAAGCAACATGCGCAGCCCCAGCCCCGACAAAGTCTTCTGATTCCGTCTGATTCCCCGAAGGCTTGTAAGCCTGTAGATTTGCTTGATGCATTCGAGGATAAGACCTCGCCGATGGGACGAGCCTGAACTCGTGCAGAAGCCCTCCGAAGCCCTCCCAACTAGGAGGGTTGCGTAGGGGGTTGTAACTCCCTAATTGGCCAGTCAAGTTCTGTCAACATCCCCTACCAAATCATGAAAGCCATCCCAGACTCTGGCTGGGCAAAGGTGGCCCCTGCTTTCAAGGAATGCAAGCGCTGAAGCGCTGAAGCGCTGAAGCTGAAGCGCTCGAAGTTTGTTGCAACCAGAAAGCAGCAAAAGAAGTGGCGAACGCCGGGCACAGCCTTGCCGAAGGCCCAAAGCCAAAGGCTTTTCAGGCAGACACGGCCCACCCTACTCTACACATGGACTACTTGGTACGAAATTGGGTTCTTGTTGCTCTTGTAGGGAAGTGCCCATTGTTGAGGGGGGAGGGCCTTAGGTTCGGGGACACAAGCTTCTCGAACCCTCTCCACAGGCGGGCGGCCCGCCTTCTTTGCCGCCCTCGCCAGCGAGGTCGCAGGCCCAGGCATCGGCGGCTTCGGAGATGGCCAAGGAGGCTCCCTGGGTTACGGGCTTAATGGGGCTGTTCAAAGGTTCCAGGCCTTCTAAGCTTCTGCTGTTTCACAATTTTTCGTGGGCTACGGAACAAGAACGTTATGCTCAAGTGCACGAGCCTTGGGCTGCTTTCGCAACGTGTTCTCTTAGAGGAGGTTATACGAAGCCGGGGCCCAGACATTTTGAGAATCGGAAGCTGGAAGCTCCAGACTTTTGAGGGCCAGGACTGAAGGCAATTTGGCCTTATGCTGTTCGTGTGTTTGGCCCAGCCCCGAAACCCTTGCACCCCGAACGCCCACGGGAAATGCCATAATGCACCCCCGCTTTTTTAAGATCCCCCAAGTCCCCCAATGCCCTTCAAAACCCTAAGCTTTGAGGAGGCGGGCTCCAGCGACTTCCCAGCGGCCATCGAGGCCCAGTGGCCCCCTCATAGTTCAAGCCTGTAGGCCGATAGAGGGACCTGATGGTAGTTTGAGTTCTCCCCAACCCCTCAACGAAAAAGCGGAGTTTTGTTGCAGGAGGCATTCGGGCCCTAAAAGAACCCCAAGTCAACGTAGAGGAAGCATGCCTCAGCAAGACCGAGGCTTATGTGGTCTGGGCATCCTGAACAGGTTCACCCGCCCAACGTCCCCCCAAGCCCAAACTCTGAAGTTTGTCAGGGTCCCAGATTTTTTGAATCGCAAAATCTTCCCGGGAGGCGCCGCTGCCTCTGTCCCTGGCGGAGGAGGAGGAAGCCGAGGAGGCGGCTGAGGGCACCAACGAGGACCGGGGCCTCTGAAAGCCTGTTGTCCTTCTTGTTGATGCCTTCAACGTCAGGAATTACTGACAGAGGTTGCTTTGCCAGGGGTCTTCGATCGGATGCTCGATCCACCTATCGCTTTGCTTGTTTGGGGTCAATTAAATGTCAGGGACGAAGTCGTGGGCGTAGACCTAGCCCGAAAGCGATTCTGCATGAAGCCCCCGTCGAAAGCAGCATTCGGTCCTAAACCCCCGAAACCGTAAACTCTGCACTTCGGCGTAGGCGATTGCGCTCCTGCCTTCTCCCAAGTCGGAGGTCCGCGGCTTAGAGGTCCACCCCGAACGCGGAACCCCAAAAACCCTGAATTTCGGGAACACTAGGCTTGGGGGATCTCTCATGCCGTATGAGACACGACATAACTTCTACTGAGAGCCCAAGAGCCGTGTGCCTAGGGATGCCCTAGGTCATAATGAAGACGCCTGTTTTTTTGACGTCACTTTCCTGATTTCCCTGTGTTTGGGAATAATGCCCCATGTCATGGCCATGGCAAGTATCCCCGAGGGCACTTTTACCCTGCCCGCCCCCCCCCCTCCGACGTTGAAATCCACGCTTTTTTCAAGGGGGTGGGGAAGCAATCTGCAGAATGCCTGGACCCTAAACCCCTGCTCCCCGAAACCTCTTAAACCGTAGGCCTAAGCGCCTAAACCCCTAAGAGTCCAAGGCATATACTAGGGAAGTAGGAGCTGTTACGGGACTATGAGGGCACCTGATACCTAGCACCGAAGAGCCAGCGCGGTCAGGGAGCCCTAAACCCCAGGGTTTGGTGGTTTTGAGCGTTGAGGGCTGGTCGGCTTTCTCAGGTACCCTGCGAGATACAGCCCTACAAGGCTTTTGTCGTAGGTTTTGGCCGAGATATGCCGAGATCACGGCAAAGCCCAGCACCCCCCAAGCGCTGAATTAAGCCCCGAAACTCTTGTTGCCCCAGTTCCTCCACGAAAACGCTCAGCCAGGGGGCCTATTTATCTGAAGCCTCTAGCCGCAAACCCCGCCTAAAGGCCGCCACCGTCACCCAGATTGCGGAACTGCGACTTAGCCTGTCTGTCGAGTTTACTCTAAGTGGTTCCATGTTGGCTTAGGCTTTCTCGAAGCCCTCACTACAACGCTCACTCCCACATCTCAACCACGGATTCCCTGATCCGGTGCTGAAAGTTCTATGAATCATGAATTTTTTTGTTTGGACCCACACTCGACCCTAAGACTAAGGCCCGAGAGCCCGAAGGCCCTGTTGAGCTTTTTTGGACCTCAAAGGTCCACAGTCACGCACGGCAGGGTTCAGTTCCTCCTGGTTGCATGACTTTGGGCCTACGTTGGGCCTGAGAACTGCCGATGCAGACCTCAGCATGCAGTCATGTCCGATCAGCTCGAAAATACAGAAACCCGAAGCCTTCATAGGCGCTGTCTTTTCAATTACAGGCCATCTCCAAGTGCTAGACACAAAAAAAACACTCCAAACCAAGAGGCTCCGTGCGTCCGGCTTGCAAGTTCCGTGTTTCAGGGTCGTAGTTGTTTAGGCTCTTCCAGACTTCTGCTTTTTTGGCAGACTTTCGCTGATACTCCCCGAGCCAATCCCAGGCCCTCCGCAGACGAAGCAGAGGCCGATGCCTTCGCGCGCCGCTTCCGGCAGCTGCGGGCGGTGGCGCGGCTCATGAATTGAATGGGGGCAGTTCTGGGCGTGGAGGTTTCTGTATAGCCTCATTTCTCGACGAAGCTCCCGTTTTGGGGTCCCCTCAATACAACATGGGTTTTCAAACAAATATGGGTCGTTTTGATAGTTCCAGTCAGAAAATAAGGTTTTCTGTAAGGTTAGAAGCCCGCGCGCTGCCACTTTTGGTTCCTTTCAAGCCGAGCCGAGGAGCAGGAGGCTGAGCAGCAGAGGTCGCGCCTCGGCCGCAAAGGGGCCGCTTGTGGACAGATTTCGCTTGCAAAGGGTTTACTTAGGGCTTAGGGTTTCGGAGCCCTAGGCTTCAAGACCCTGAGCCCTAAGCCCTACAGCAAGCCACAAGAACCCCAAAACCGATGCATAGGTCTGCACTGTCACAGGAGCAGCGTGCAGAGCAGAATCTGCACACTCGCCATGGTGACGAGTGGCAGACCATCATTCCTTGCCACGGCTGCCACACCACGATTGAGACCCCATTAGCTTCTCGGAGTGACGGACATTCGTCACATCCAGAACTTCCTTCGAAAAAAGATGGTATCAGGGGGTGGTGTTCTTGAGGCTTGTGGGCGTTTGTTGCTCACAAGCCGTTCGTTTTCAATTCCGGGTGAAGGGTTCAGAGTTCAGGAGAGCCATTCGGGTTGAGGGTCCCGGGTGGACCCTGTGACGCCTGGCGCCCCTGCAGCTCCAGGGCAGCGACCAGCAGCTTGTCCAAGTTGCTCAACGACGACTCGCCGGGGTCCCAGAGAGTGCTTCGAGCTTATCACAAGAGGCTTTTGGGGAATGCTTACCCGGTGTACCCTCCTTGGAGCTGTTCGAGCCTTCTTAGACCTTAGGTCGGTGGTTTGGGGGTATGTTTGAAGTTGCCAGGCTCGAGAGGCTCAAGGTATCAAGTGTTGCTCGCGGGCGTGGGGGGGTTCGGGGGCCATGGGATCGGGCAGGTTGTCCGCCTGCGGCGCGCCCCGCCGGGTTGTGGGGGTGTGTCTCTTTCTCTCGCTCTCTCGCTCTCTCGCTCTCTCGCTCTCTCGCTCTCTCGCTCTCTCGCTCTCTCGCTCTCTCGCTCTCTCTCTCTCTCTCTCTCGCTCGCGCTCCCTCTCTCTCTCTCTCTTTCTCTCTCTCGCCCTCTCTATCTCTCTATCTCTCTGTCTCTCCCTTTCTTTCTTTCTTTCTTTCTTCCTTCTTTTTTTATATTTCTTTCTTTTGCCTGGTTGAGACTTCAAGGCCCGAGGGCCCTACAAACGAACTCCTAGGTTCCGGGATTGGAGTCCCCTAAATACGGAGCAGAACTCCTGCTGTGTGTAAATGGCGACCCAGGTAGGGTTTACACAGTAGCACGGTTTTTGCAGATGGCCGAGGCAAGAGCAGCTGGAGGAGTCCTTCTTGTCGAACTACATTCTGATTCCAGGGATCGTTTGTGGTTTGAGGCCTCAAGAACTTTGGACTTACATAAGCCCCCTCCACTTCAGCCACAAACTTCATGCCCCAAGCGCAGCTTCAGGCTCCCAATCTGGCCGGTAAACTGGGTGGACTCGATCCCCTTAAGCCCTGAATCCCCGCGCCAGGACGACAAGGGTCACGAAGTGATGGGTGTGAACGCGCGCATCCTCCAGGAGGTCCCTGGATTTGCTTCTCAGGGGGTGGGGTTGTCCAAGTGCTTTGAGGTTCAGGGCAAGTTCAGGGAGCATTTTAGGACTTCTTTCCGCGGGATGGCTCAACAGTGAAAGGTTCTGCATGGGGTCACGGAAGAGCTCGCTGAGCTCGCTTTTATTTCTCTCAAGCTTCGGCAGGATTCTCGCAAGGGTTTTGGAGTCGATAAACTCTGCAGCCCTAGACTCAGAGCCTGCAAAGCCAGCAACCCGTAGCACCCTTTTCGTGGTTCTCGACCTGCTAAACTGTAAGCAGAGCTGAACACCCGCTCTTGGAACTCAGATGCCTGGCCCCAGCCAAGGTTCGGGCATCCCCGGCTGGCCCAGACGACCTGGAGCACGTGGAGCTCCTGACCAAGAAAAAAAATGTGCAGTTCAGGGTTTCGGGTTGCCTAAGCTCCCAAAGTACCCCAAAATCCCAGGCCTTTAGCCCCAAAAGAGTAATTTCAGATTGTTGCCATTTTTGTACGCGCAAGGATGGGGGGCCCGGTGGGGCCCAGACCTTCCATCAATGCAGCATTCAGGGGAACCCTTGTCCCTCTGTGTAAATGTGTGTCAAACCCCAGCTGTGTTTTTGTTTGGCTCCGAGTCGGCCACCGTGATTACGGCGTGTAGCCGAGAGGTCGGAAGTGAGTGAGTGAGTCCCGGGCCCGCGACGGCGCAGCAAAAACAAACTAAAGAACCGTTGTCCCGAAAGGGTCTTCGAGACAAGTTTAAGACTTCGCGAATTTCTGGTAACATAGATCACGAAATCCATCACACCATCCATCATGCCATCCATCCATGCATCGACAACCTTTTCGAAGGTCGCCTCCGCTGAAAACCCTCGCCACGCTTCCCGCAATATTGTGGTCAGCGTGGTCAATACCTGCCGCCAACAGCGAAAAGGGGAACCGATGTGGTCGAAGCGATCAACCTGTCAGCAAAGTTCAAATATGAGAAACCCTACTCAAGACTCGTAAGATCTACCGAAAGTGTAAACGTAGGCAGGCCCAAGACCCCAAGACCAAACCCTAGAACCCTTCACAGCCTCTCAATGCTTCAGCTCCCCTGAAAATTCAGGTTGCTGGGAGGGGACGCAGGTGCTTATTTGGGCAAACTGGTAATTCCACACAGCCATCAAATGCCTTGGGGTTCGCGTTGGCTTGATAGGAGGCCCCAAGCCAACCCAGCAAACCCTTCACCCTGAAGCCCTGGCAGAAAGCTCGTGGCTTTGGGGTTCTAAAGGTTTGGTTTCAAGCGGTCGCCTGAGAAGGCACCCAAAACGCTCGAATTCCTTAGAAACCCGAAATGTGCTAAGCACATCAAACCAAATTTAGGTTCAATCTGGGCGAGCCTGCGCAGCAGCGCCACTCGGAGCGTTGGGATATGAGGTCTTCCCCAGTTTTGGCACTGTGAAGTGGGCCCTCAACCCCAGTCACCTTGAATGAAGCGGAACCCCAGAACCAACCCCCACGAACCCTAGGTTTTCGAGTAGGGTTTCCAGCTCGAGGTTTGTTAGGGTCTGCAGTCTGCCTACTACTAGAACTGTTCATAGAAATAGGGGCATCGGTGTAAAGCTTAACCCGTCGATCCTGGAACATTCAGAGGTTCGACTGGGAATGCGCGCTTACACCCCAGCCCGAAGCTTTGAGAGCAGTCCCAGCTTCCACACGCCAGCCAGCCCCAACCCCCCAAAACAGTTCTAGATTTAGGCTTTACCCTAAACAATCCTAACCCCTAATTTAGGCTTTTTTACCCTAAACAATCCTAAGCCCCCAAATCCCTAAAATTGCGGGGTGCGCTCAACCAAAACAGCCAGAGAGAGCATCCAGGTAAGCGGCAGGTCTGGGATCACCGAGGGCGCCTTGGCAGCGCCCTCTCTACTACCCCCCTAAACCCCCTCCACCCCCTGGCTTTTACATTAGGGGGTTTAGGGTTTAGGGTTTAGGGTTTAGGGTTTAGGGTTTAGGGTTTAGGCCCTCTACTTGAAGGTGTTGGGTTCCAAGTAAGCAAGCCTCTTAAGCCCAAGCGCCACATCACACTCTTCCCCCGAAAGCCCAAACTCCACTGGTCCTCAGCAGTCCCCCCGGCTTTCCCGGGCTCAGGGTTGAGGGTGCGACTTGCGTTGGTGTCGCGATCACATGATCTTGCCCACAAGGGTTTAGGGGCTTCGGTGCTTCAGAATTCAAGAACCGGGGTTGAGGGTTTCGGATCCGAGGGTTTTGGAGACAGTTTTGGATGTTTCTTCGGGTGGCCAGGCAACTATTCTTGCAAGCCTGAGATCAACAGCGTGCAGTGCCGCGTTGTCATGGATGTTGCAAAAGCATCTCCTTCGCCGGTATGCCCAAGATTATTGTTTACTGTGGTGGGGGGGACGGGTCTTCCCTCGGCCCCCGAAATTGTCTGTGTTGTGCCTTGTATTTTTTGTTCTGAGTTGCCGGGGTTTCCTCTTTGCGAGTGAAAGGAACTCGGTGCTCTCTTGGAATGAGGACTTGGACGAGGCTGCGGGAGGAGGTCTAGCCAGGTCAGTCAGGGCAGAGTGTATGAAAGCAGTTGGACCTCGAGATGAGGGGAGCCAGTACTTCGGGTTCAGGAGTTTGTGCAAGGAAGGGCCTCCGATTTCAGACCTACATGCTCTACGCCCACACGCCCGATCACCCCCAATCTTTGATAAGATTCCGGGAGGCCTTTCTTGTTGGGGTGCTTGGAGATGTCAGCAGCCAGCACTTTTACATCAGGCCCGGCCTTGTAACTCCCTCAATCTCTGGACCGTTGCTATCTTGGGGCCCTTGACTTCGTGCAACAGGTCACGGCAACGAGATCCAGCGCAGCGCGCGAGTACAGGCCCTTTTCTGGAGGTTGTATAAAGGGTGGGATACAGCTGTACAATCTAGATTCTGCCAGTGTAGGGTGCGCTGTCGTGGCGTGTTTTGCAACCAGCGCATGTTCACCATCTTGGTTTCCTTAACATTTGTGGTTTGTTCTCGACATCATGGTCTTAGAAGGGGCCGTGCTATACCACAGGGTCACGTAGGGACCCAAACACAACGCCCTGCCGATCAGATCCTCCCCAGAATCCATCCGAACAAAAGCACTACGCAAGATAACCTTTAACCCAGGAACCCTAGGACTCAATTCCGTATCCTGGACCGTTTTGGGGCTTTCCTTGCAGTTCACCCCGTACCTCAAGTCTCTGGAGCCTAACGCCCTAATCCCCTCAACCCAGAACAAATCCAGAGACATCCCAACGAAGCACATGCAGAACGACAGATATGCACCCGCAGAACTGCGCTGGACCTCAAGAAAGCCCAAAAGCCTTGGCCCTGAACCACATCCGAGGCAGGATGCCCAGGCATCCGAGTCGCAAGCTCTTGGCAGCCAGAATCTCGGGGGCCGCGTAACATTCCAAGCTTACGGGATTTGCGTGCTTAAGGATTCAGGCTTCACATTATGGAGCTAGTCTGGGGCGCTAGTTTTGAAGTTTATACTGGTACAGGATTGTAGTTTACCACTGGGTGGTGAGTGGAAGTAAGCTTGCTTCTCCAATATGACTCAAGCACGAGCCCTAGCGGCATCCCTTAAGCGTCGACGGCTTCTCTACACTCCCTACCGGCAGGGCTCCTCCAGTCTGAGCACAATTTCAATTTGCGTACCAATGTGACGGCTGCTCGGAGCCCGCGCCTGGATGCTGACCCAGCAAGCAAAACATCCCCACAACCCTTTACGAAAAGGTGGCAGAATGCCAGCTGTGGCATGTGAGCGGTTCGAGTTCTGGGCATGTGTCGCTCACCATTGGGGCGACCCAGAAATGACCTTGTGAACGACCTCGGCGCAGGCAATCACGCCTGTTGGCATGTGTTGTTACTCAATACTTCCCGGTCGCCAATCCTGAGACGCACCCCCAAACCCTAGCTACTTGTACGTGCTCCACTCAACCCTAAAGATCCCTAAAGCCTCAACCTGGCCCTTGGCCTCACCGACTTAAGACCTTGGGGCGAATCCCCACCCTGAAGTTGTCGTCGGGAAGTCTTTTGAGCCCGCTCAAGCGCCCCTAACCGTGGACCCCCCATTTTAACGACCTCTTCTGTGGAGGTCGGGACCTTACCCGCTCCATGGGCTCGGGCCAGAGCTCTCAAGGCAAGGGTCTTGGGCCTGGGGCCTTGGGCCTTGGGTTTCGGAGCCCGAATTCGGATCTAAGCCCTTCAGGGTTTAGAGTTGGCTAAGGGAGCTTCGGGATGTTGGTTTTTGTTGTCTTTGATCATGCCCGAGGCTTTCCCGTTCGTGCGTGAGGAGGATTTTCGGACATCTAACCGGGGAGACATGTAAGTGAGGTCTTTAGAATCAAGTCATCTTCCTACCCTTCCAGAGGCTATTTTTGGGCAGCAGAATACGCACTCCGTTATGGGCAACCCCAGAAAATTTAATACTGGTAAACTCCGTACATTCCTTGGCAATGATGAGTGGTATCTGCAGAGTTCCAAAGGCCCCAAGCCTTGAACGCCAAACTTCCTCAGCCCTAAACTTCCAAATCCCCCCGAGTTTGACCCTCACAGGCTCTGTCCGCCTCCCGAAGATCGACTCCAAGCTGTCGCCCCAGCCTCGGCAACAGGAGCCCGGAAGCCCCTGAAACAAAACGCTCTACCCCTAATTCTGAACAGGGGCATCTTCAGGGAGGTTGTCACATTGTAGAGGCTTTCTCCCGGTCTGTTGCGCCAGCTCGCTTTTTCTTCTTCTTCCGCTTCCCCGAAACCCTCAAGCACCCTGGGCCCTTGAACACCCGAAAGCGCGATCCGTCCTCCGTTGTGCTGCAGGCGTGCGAATTCAGCTCCCTCTGGCATACGCCTCGAGGATAGTTTCGAGGAGCTTGGAATGTGCTTGATACGGTGTAGGGCTCCGAGCTTGTCGAGTTTGTGATGGTTTTAGGGTCCCTCGGACATCCCAATCCTTTGATGGTTTAGGATTCCAGGGGCCTGTGTTGACCTGACTTGTGTCTCCCCTGCACCTCCGGCATCATCTCAACAGCGGCGTGGACGTGGAGCTGTGCCAAGGGAGCCCTAAACCCTAAACCCAGACGCCTGAACCCGGAGGACTCGTTCCCTCTGAAAGACTCCATCCAGAGCGCTCTGGAGAGCAGCAGCGTGCAGGCTCGGTGCCAAGGTTAAAGTTCAGGGTGCGGGCCTCAAAGTTTGGACGGGCGATGTCTTTTCCTTACAAATGGTTCCATCTTATTGGCATTACTTCTCATTTTGTTTTCAAGGTTTTATGATCCAGAACCCAGTTTGTAATGTATGTCTTGATGACCTTCATTCCCGAAGCAAATTTATGATGGGCGCCCGTCTCATCCAACTCTATCACAGTTATAAAATTTGTAGTATGTGGCGGCCAGGCGTTCTTGATGTATCGCTTGAAAACCCAATTTCTTACCACCTTGAAAGCAGAATCTTGTTTCCAAGGAGGTGCTTTTGTTGGACAATGCCGAAGAAGTTAGATCCCAGCTGCCAGGTTGTTCCGCTATTCTGCTGCTTGAGAGGTGAAATCAAACAGTGTAGACTCGAACTTTGCAACATGAAGTAGGATGAGGGGAGACACAGGCCACCGAAAATCCGGGAGGCCCGTCAAACGAGTTGTTTTTCTGAGCCCTCAACCTACCTTACCCTAAACCTCTAAGCCCCCCCCCCCGCTCCCCCTTGGCGAGGCACTGCGAGAGCGCCTCCGTGCAGGGCCCAGGGGCACGGGGGGGAGGCTTAAGCGGGGGAGGTTGTTTTTGGAGGCTTTGGGGCTTGGGGGGTTGTGTTGCTTTGCGTTCGTCTCGTATTTTGGAGCTTCGGCAGAGCTCAGGCGGTTCTAAGGTACAGGGTTGTGATCCGAAATGCAGCTGTGTACCTGAGTGTAGAGTTTTGGGGTTTAAGGGCCCAGGCTGATGATCATGCTCTTGCTCCGAGCTCCGGCCCTCAGACCCAATCAGAAAGCTCACTCATCTTCCTATCCTTGCCAAGCAGTCTCTGCACCTGGTGACACAGGGCGGAGTTTCCTAAGATGCGAAGAGCACCTCTGAAACCCCTCCGTTGCCGAGGCAGTGAGATGACCCTCCACCAGCAGACGCGGGCACATGCGCAGGAGTGCTCCGGATTGGGGGCTCCCGGGCTTGCTGTCACACCCTTCTGACTGCCCATTTTACTGCTCCGGCCGTGATGTGTTTGCTTTGGCGCTTCCCAGTGAGAGCTACGGAGTTATTGCTGGCATGAGCACGTTGTTCCTTTTACTTGCGCACAGTCGCTGTGCCTCTCGTCAAGCCTTTCCGCCATTGCTTGTTAGCTGTGTCAGTCTCTCCGCCGATGTTTGGGCGGGTGCCATCTGGACCAACCTGATCGCTGTCACGTCGTTCTTGTTGTTGTGCTTCTTCTTGGATATTCTGGGTTTGTCTCACGGTTCTTTTGCCGCCCATGAGATGGAACCAGTGTAACGGCACGGTGTTCAACATAGTGTTTATGCTATGGCTCATCGTAACGAACGCCACGGCCCATCTTTTGGGTAGTCCGAGCACTCCGAACGCTTCATGAAGGCTTCTGGCAAGCCATGGTCCTGCTTTCGAAAGCCCTCGAGCCAGCTCATTCTCTTTTAAGCTTGAGGATTAACGCTCCCGTCTAAGTAGCAAGTCTGTTTCGGTTTACTTCCAGAAGCTGCTACGACGTTGACGTTGTAATGACCATGTCTAGAAGAGGGGAAGCAATAGTGTAGCTGTAGACGATGCTTCTGGCGCTGGCATTCGCCATGAGCACTGAAGCCCAAAGGCCCTAAAGTCCCCGAAATTTGGTGGTACCCTCAGGATCTGGAGCGACGCCTGCAGCTGGCGACGTCCAGAAAGAGAGACTTACGGGCTGCCTCGGACGACAAGCCCCGCCTGCCACGCTTAGGGTTTTTGGGATGTTTTAGGATGTCGTGGGATGTTTTCGGATGTTCCGAAACAGAGGAAGCAGCCTTACACAGAATCGGAACGATGCTGCAAACAGCCGTCTCAAACACGACGTAAGTGGAAGATGCCATTCCTGAGGCTTCCTCAGGAGCTCGCAGCCTCCTGGGCACTTCGCATAATGTTTTTCTTACAAGTTGTTCCTTAAACCCCTTGTCCCTACTCGAATCATAAACAGTACTCCCCAAACACATATAATCCTTAGTATAGGAAATCTCCCCACAAGCGCCCATTTCGAGGAACCCCTAAATGGCCCGGGAACCTGAGTTAGCAGCCTCTGGGATCGAAATTTAGTTCTAATGCCCCATGCGTGAAGATCCATTAGACCCTGCTGGAGACGAGAACATGATGCACAACGTCGAGCAGTCTGCCTGCGTGCATAAACCCGAGGCCGCTGATCTTGCCAAGGAGCACAACTCCCGGACCTCTTCGAAGCGTCAATCCCAAAATTTTCGCCCTGAACCCCCCCAAAGCGGTCCTTGACACTCAAGCACCGTAACTGCACCACCCACCGAAGACCCGGCAGTATTCCTGAACTGGTGGACGTCACATTCAGGATCTTTGGGGTGCCCTCTGCCAGCGCGCCAGGCCTCGCTTCGGAGTCGCCTCGGGTGGACCCTACGCGGCTGCTCGGAGTTCAGATTTCGAGGGGGAGGAGGCTGACCCCGACGTTCAAGATCCGGGGCCAAGGGTTTAGGTTTGATTCCGTGTCTACCTTGAGGCATTCGGCATTCTTTCCCTGCAGTTTCGAAGTGCGAGCACGTGAGTGGATGCCTTCCTTCAAATTCAGGCAAATGCAAGAAACAGCAGAAATTTCTCGCGGGCCTCTGCCTCATAAACATCCACAAACGAGGCGCGCTTTTTGTCACATAATCATCCCTCGATGTGAAACAGTTGTGCATCATTTGCGCGAACCTAAACCCCAGATTTTTGCGTTTAGGGTTTGATCGGGTTGAAGTGGGGACAGAATTGCAAAACCTGGCTTAAACCTGGACTTAATCCCCCAAGCCCAGTGATGCCGCGGCGTGCTGAGGCTAAGGCTGCCAAAACAGAAAAGGAGAAGAGGACCGAGCTTAGGATAACCGAGCTTCTGCAAAAACTGCTTCGTAATTAAGGCTCTAGAGACTCTAGAGTGGGGCCTTCAAGCGCTGTAAGCCTTTGGGGATTCACGGCTCAAGGCTTTGGAGAACTAAGGGTCGCAGGATTCCTGGGCTTCGGGCTTTGTTCAGCTTGGGAGGACATCGTCAAAAGATCGTATGGATGTAAGTTCATGCATGAGTGCGAGCAATTGTTTATCTGGGACGAATTTTCACAGCAAAATGGAACGGACAGTTTAGGCAGCTGTGCACTTGTTTTATGAGCAGCTTCCGCACACAGGCTACAGAACCATGTTTGCAGGATGCACAACTTAGTTTCAAGCTGTAGTAAAAGCCGATAGTTGCTTACAGCCCTACGAAGAAGTTCTTCCGCTTTTCTCGCCTAGTTTCTACCCAATAGAGCCCCAGGCAGGTTCTAAGAATGGGCAGAGGAGCATCGTGCTGCCGCCGCTGCGCAGCCCAAAGCCCTCAGCGCCGGCGCGGCGTGCAGGCCCCGCTTAGGGATCAGAAGCCAGAAATGGGTGGGCAGTGGGCGATTTTGTCGGGGTTCGGGGTTCGGGGTTCGGGGTTCGGGGTTCGGGGTGCCTATAGATTGTGGTTGCTCAGGGCTTCGCGGGTTCAGGGTCTTCGAGGGTTTCAGGCGTCGGGCTTTCCGGTGGTTTGGGCCGGGGCCTTCGGGTTTGGTTGGAGGGCTAAGGGTTTCTTAACTCTCAAATGTGAGGCCTTGTGTGCTTTTCGCTTTGCTCTGAACCTCTGAGAAACACAGGTCACAGAGACCTACAACACCCTTGTCCCGAAATCCCTTTACAGCCCCAAGAGACCTCAGCAACGCCCTAAACTCCCAAGTCCTGAACTCTTCCGAAGCCTGAAAGACCAACAACTCGAAGCGCTAGGAGAAGGCCAGGGCATCCTAAAACCCAACATGCCTAAACTCGAAAGCCCGTAAGAACCTTGAGCCCAAAAAGCACCCCTGAAGCTGTCCTTCTGAAAGTCCTGACGCACAGAAAAGCTTCAAAATAACTCCACACCACCTTCAACCCCCCCCCCCCCCCCTAAAGTCAAACCCCCCCCCATTAAACCCCCAGAACCCTATACTCCGCGAAATCCCCAGCGAGACCCACTACGCCTGCACCCCTCAACCCCGAACCGTAGCCACTGATGGCAGGAGATCCCGTGGGTCCCGTCGTACAGGATGATGCCTTCGGGGCAGCGGGGGATCCGCAGGGTTGTTTGAAGCTTAGGGTGTAAGTAGGTTTTACAGCTTCGGGGACATGGCTCCAAACCTTGGTGCCCTGAAAGTTTTCCAGAGACACCTTTGTCTCCCGCGACTTTCGGCCCTTCTGGGAGCCCCACATTCTAGGAGGTCTTTCAGGCCTTCACAATCCTACTCTTCCTTTCTTTTGGTGGGGGTTGGCATTTCTGGTTGAGGGTCTGGGTATCTTGGGTTGCGGTGTTGCAGCTCTGAGCCCCAAGACGCTTTCAACCCCGCCCCTGTGGTCAGGGTGTAAGGTCGTGGTGCCGCATTGCTCGCAGGATATGCTGAGAGAAGAGCACATGTCAACACTGTCCGGGCCCTGTCTTGCCTGGCTCGGGCAATAGTTGCTCGCAGCGTCAGGTACGTTCAAGGCAGAGATGAAACTTTTAAGTGTCCACTGGCGTGTCTTGAAGTCAGGGGTAAGCTGGAGTGTGTGACGGCGGCCCTGTGAGTAGAAAAAGCCTCTAGACTCCAGGCATGGGGCTCTCACTCTCGTCGTGCAGAATTCTCCTTTTCTGTGAACGCGTGGCGTCGCGTGGCGTCGTGTGGCCATGTCAGAGTCATGAGCAGCTCTGCTTTCCGTATCGTTCGGTGTTCAGGAATCGTCAGGGTTGTGCATCTTCTCCTCTCCCTCTGTCCCCCTCTCCCCCTCTCCTTCCCTTTCTCCCTCTCTGTTCCTCTTTCCCGCTCTCTCCTTTAGCTTTCTTTCTTTTTTTTTCCGCTGGCGCTCGAATGCGCAAGGAAGCTCCAAAGCTCGGACTACAACTTAACGTCATGGACAAAGGATGAGCAGAGAAAGAGGGCATAATCTCGCAATGGTCGGACTCGGAAAACGAAATCCGACGAAAGTGTATAGAGGTAGAGAGGACCGTAATCTTCAAGCCGGCTTCCCTACAGGGATCGCATGGAGACAAAAAAAACATAAAGCCTAAATAATACACCCAGAAATTGGGCAGGCCATGAGCCATTGTTGGAAGTTACGCCTCCAAGAAGCAGATGTTGACCTCGTGAGCATCAGAAGATATCGAAATAGAAAAGTCCAGTCCGTGCTGAGTTCGTTGTCGTAGAGGTAATAAAGACACAGGTAATTCGAAACTAGAGAGCAATCAGAGCAACCATGTAGTCGTATATGGCAATCTCAGTACATGGCACCGAAAGCGGCGGGCAAGCTGAAGTCTATACAGTCTCCTGCCAAAGCCTTGCCTCCGTCTGAAAACCGTGGCAACCTTCGAGCCTGCTTGAAGCATATAGGCATTGTCACAAATAGAGTGAAATAGCTACAGTTACGGCCATGAACTGCTAAAGCTAAGGTCGCGACAGGAGCAGTCACGAACGCGCTTACAGGCCTGGTGGCGAGTCTTCGGAGAATTTCGACGTTTGGGATTACCCTGGGATTCCTTGTTGGGTCCTTTGGAGTTTTTGTAGGCCTCATGTCTTGAATGTTTCACAAGGGCAAATTTTTCAGGAGGCGAGCCACATCCAAGCGGAACACGGGCCTCGGGCAGAAAGGCTTTTCAGAACACTGAGCGTTAAACTCATTAACCCCTAAACGCTTGACCCTTTAAGCTCTAAACCCTAAGCACTGCCTTAGCCTCAACTCCGCTATCCTTAAAGACCCTAAACATGAATTGAAAAAGCCTAGTGCTCCAACGTCCTGCTGAACCCCGAAGAGCGGTCAATAGCTGTCAGAAGCTCCCAAGGCCTCGTCCGTTGACCCTTTGGTTGCACCCAAGGCCTTCCTTGGCTTAGGGTTTACGCAGTTTACGCTCCTGTCAGCCCTGAACCTGTTGACCGAAGTCCTCACATGCCCATTGAGCTTCACCTGTGGCAGAGGCCTTTGGCAAGCTGGGCCACGCAGGTCCTTGGGGAATGGACAAGGGTTTGTTAGGGTCCTTCTTATGCGGATCCCTACTGTCCACGGCATCCATGTTCGGGGATCCGGGAATGCATTAAAAAAGGGTCGGAGGCTCGGCGCCGCCCATCTTTCCCGCGGCTGCTTTTGCGCGAGCTCGTCTGTGTGCTTCGCAGCCAGGCTCTAGAGGTTACGAAGGTTACCCAACGGCTTGCCGTGTTGTTTTTTTGGGCTTCGAGCTGTTAGGGTTCCAGTTAAATTTTCCTGATCATCTAGGCTTCCAGGACTTTTCTTGAACTTTCAGGGATTGAAAGCTCTCAGCTCCGTTGACCTCGAGCCTTGCCCTGGGCTGACGCGCGGATGGGGAGCGGCGGAAGCTGCGCCAGCCGAAGCTTCCAGGGCTCAGGGTGCCTCATTCCAGCCCCTCCGCAGGATGCCATCCTTCCAAACGATGCCTGCACGAACTCTATGTCCAGGAGCTCGAGGCCTGCCTCATTAACGTGGCCACGTATCCACAAGCTTTTCAGAGTAAAGGTGGAGCGCCGGCGCTGGGACTGGGACCCTTTGGAGTAAGGATGTCGGCCCATGCGAAGACACGAGAGTGGTGCGCAGATCGATGATTCGTCTGCGGTCCTTCGTGCGGCTTAGGTGGTCCGTGTTTGGATGTCGCTTGAGAAGCGTGTCCGGCGACAGAAGCTTCAGTAGCCTTCAGTATTAGCCACAGGCCAATGATCTCAGCAGCCGTTCGGTCGGCAATAGACATTTCAATACATTGAATTTGGTGCTGTCTGCCCGGACAGCATGTGCTGCCCGGACAGCCTGTGCTATGACAGATCGTGGCAACATACCGTTTCCCTGATATTCCAGTTTGTCAGTCCTTTCGTAACTATCATTATCGTACAGTACGACCAGTACGGGGAGCATGTTGGCCAGATGATCTGCTTGAAAGGTGTTCAATACATTCAATACACTTGTTCAATAAACAAGTCGTTCCCAAGCCTACTCGGCCAGTAGAGACAGTTCGACGGGAATGGGCCCGTGTGGGTGCGAGACATATCGTGCGATAATTGTGGGGCTTGTAGAGTTTGATGGTCTTGGGGGTTCAGGGCTTCAGATGTCTTTGGGTGGGTTGCTTCGGACTTTAGTTTCGAGTTTTGAGGGTCGGCTTGCGAGCCCTCAACTGTGGCCTGCGTTGTCAGCCATGGAGTCTCGCTTTGACTCTTGCCCTAAGGTCCCAAAGAGTGAGTGGCCATGTAGCTATCTGCTCCTCACCTCCGCTCTCATTGCACAGAGAACCCTTGCATCCAAGAGTCTTGATGATTGCATTGATCGAAACTTTAACCTGTAACTCCTAAACCCTAAGCCAAGTAGACTGCAACAGTTGAATTCCTAACGCCCTCAACTACAACAAGAGGGTCCTGCACCTGCCAGCGTCAGTCAACCACAAGACCTGCACAAACCCAAACAAAACCCAAAAGGGCCCTTTTAAGTTTAGGGAGGATTTCTCAAAGTTTTTCCCCTGGGAGCGGGTGACCCTTCTGAGCCCAAAGTTTGAGCCCCACACCCTTTTAAGCCTTGCGTTGAAGGGCTTTGGAATCCCGGTTCACCCTGAAAACACCGTAAAAAGAACCCAAAGCCTAAAGTTGAACCCCCCCCCTTGCCAGGCCTTAGCACTTGGGACGTGCGGCTCGAGGAGAAGGTTTCCCGCTTCCAGGAGCAGCCGGAAGTTGGGGGGTCTCTGGGGTTTCTCAGGTGCTTCAGGGTTCGAGGGGTTTAGGAAGTTTAGGGGGTTAGGCTAAGGGTTTTCAGGGTTTCAGGGTTTCAGGGTTTAGGGGGTTGCAGAATGCTTCAGGCATCGTTTCAATCTTGGGTGATTTTCGTGAGTTGCTTTTGCTTCAAGGTTGTTTGTATGTTTTTGTCCATTGCCAAGACCACTCGAAAGAGCACGTCAAGAGCTTTCCGAGATCACCCTCAAGACGCACCCGCCGAGACCACTCTCACTCGGGGGACAGTGAGTTTTGCACTTCACCAGAGGAGCATGTGCACTTGGGACCGAGGCGAAAGCTTAGGACGTGCATTCCCGCCGCGTTTTCATCGACACTGAACCGTGCCAGCCTGAAAGTGCGCACGGGACCCAGGCAGCAGCACGATTTTGATGGCAGAGTTTATCAGGCGAACGGGCGATGTGGCAGCGGTCGCGAGGCCGAAAGTATGCTATCTGCGGTACTTAGGACATCTCTTGACGTTTCTGAGTTGTGCATGGCGCCTGGGCGCGAGCATCGCCGGGCACGCGGAAACACCGAGAGGGCCATCGGTTTTGAGGCCCTTCTTGCGTGCGGGGCACCGCTGCGTCACTTTGCGAACGACTTCCCTGTTCCCTCTACTTGGGATGTAAGAACCCCGAAATGCAAGCACTGTTCTGGTACCCACAATGTGGGTAGTTTGAAGGTTAAAGGACGCTTAAGAGAAGCTTAGAGCCTCTTCTATCACGCCTACGCTTCTTGAGGTTTTATGGGGCGTTCGGGCTTAGGTCTCAGGTTTTCGAGTTGGGGGAAACGGTGTGTGTAGCCCACTTCTGTATCCTAAAATGCATGAACTTCCTAAACCACAAGCCCGAGCGGAATCCCAAACCCGGCGCAACCCCTTCATGCTGAAGACGGTCTCCAAGCCTAAGCCTTGAGAACTCTAAGGCTGTCTAGTGGTTTAAGTTACGACCTTCAAGATCTTACCCCATCCTACAGTCCGAAGACCCAGCTGTGCAGGACATGCGAGCTTTCTCCGAGTCGATGTGGAACTCCTTCTACGATTGGAACGCTCAGTACCAGACGCCAGGGTGAGTGGTGCGGAGAGGCTCTAGGATGTAGGATCCCTATTTTATGATGAAAATCTCAGAGCCAGCATTCAGGGTTCAGACTTTTAGAGTTTTAGCCTCTAGGGACCAGCTCCAAGCTGAGCATTTCTTGGTCCTGGTGGTGTGTAAAGACCAGGTTTCACTGCTGCTGTGGCAAAATGTCAAGCAATGTTTCACGTGGAGGTGCCGGACGACGGCAAATTGGCATACCTCTGCAGGCCTCAAATGGTTGGCCTCATGGCACTCGTCCCAAACCTTAAACCTTAAACCCAGTGCTTGTTCTTGGCATTGTTGCCTGTCTTTTGCGTGTTGTTGTTTTGATGGGTCTTCCGGATTCCGGCCGGCCTTCCCCCCGGAAAACCCGCTTGAACCTGAAACCGTGGGACTGGTGGGCCTACTTGGCTCTGGGGCGTACCCAACCTTCAGCATTTGGCCCAAGTCTGCATCCCGAAATGGACAGGTTTCTGCAGAAAGGGGCAGGGATGGGAGGCGGTGCGCTCATTGCACAGGCCCGTGTGGCCTGTGATGCGCCGCTTCGGCATCTGGCTGGAACTCAGCACATGTTTTGCCGAAGTACAGCTCAAAATTCTGGGTGCAGATAGGGAACTAGGCGAGGGAACTCTATCTTCGGAGCTAAGCCGCTAAGTGCTGCAGAGGTACGAAGTCCATGTCCGAAGTGGACGCTGCATCCTGGATGCCAAGTTCCCCTTTATGAAGGCCGGGGCAGTCCATGGCAGTCCTGCCAACCTCTTTCCCTGAAGTCAGAAGGACGTGGTGCGCACACGTCCTTGTGATTATTCTGTCATATTGGAAAGATCGCCCGCAGGTACATTACGTCTACGATGGGCTTGGCTGCAGCACTGTGGAGCATGAGTATGCGCATGGGCACAAGCAGAATGGCGGTCAAATGTCACGCATGGCCCTTGACATGCTCATGGGCTGGATTCGCGACAATCGCTTTGATGTGCGCACTGCAGCAAACCACATTCGGGCCGCTATGGCTTTTTGCCGCACGAATCGGCAGCTTGGGGGAAGCAACACTTTCATGACAGCCTACATTCGGCAACAGACTTCGCGTCTGTAGGACCTGCGGCACGGTCAAATTCGCATGCTTGGAGTGGTATAAGTCGCTCCGAGTTGTGTTCTTCGAGTTTGTTTCTGGGTGCGAGCCTGCCACAGGTGCAGGAACACATGTGCTGCCTGTTGCAACGAGCTGTCGCCCTGGTCTGTGTACAGAACAGATGTGGGAGGAATCCGCAGGGCATCCCTTTCACAACCAGGGACGTGAGAGCCAAAAAATCACCTTTGGGCTTCTGCTTTCCGGGGACACTGCCAGGGCCTGGAACAAAATCTAGACTTAGTCTAGGGATGCCCGGACCTCCACGCGCCAGCAGGCGCAATCTTCATGTGTGCAAGGCCCAGGTTTCCAAGGCGGAGTCTGTGTTTACCGTGCAATCCTGTCTGGGGTCCAATGTCCACCAAAGGCAAAGCCGCTCTACCGGAAGCTCAACGCAATTGCATGACAAGACGTGTGGCGCAATGCGTACTTGACACTTGCATGTACTAGCTATCATACGTCAAACTACACCAGATCAACGAGGTAGGCTCAGTCATGTGCAACATCTGTTCTCAACCAGGTTTAGAGTGTGGGCTGTTGTGCAATGCCCTCATAACCGTAGCTGTAGCTCCACCCAGACCGTACAAGTTTTTTGTGCGAGTGCGCTACTAGAGCCAGATGTCGCTGCAACCCTGATGCAATGCTTCAAGTGTGGGGGTCATGGATGGCTTTGTGCTTGCCACCTGCGTGGTTGTCAAAATACATCTCATCGAAAGGACTCGTGTGACGCTTGCAAAGGCAGCGGCAGTTTGACTGGCTTCTGGACGAAATGTCTTAGATGCGGTGGGCATGGCTGGCTTTGTGGCTGCCTTAAGATTGGCTGCCTCAACCAATCCCATCGAAAGGATGGGTGCAGCGCTTGCAAAGGCAAAGGTGCCTCGGAACACCCCGGCGGCACCGGCGAAGCTGGAAAGTCAGGGCAACCGTGGTATTTTCACGGCACGCGCATCCATGGAACTGTCGAGTCGATCCTCCTCAATGGCCTGTCCCTAGCCCAGCTGTCTCTCCTTATGCCTTATCCCTTGCATTTTTTGAGGGTTGCTTGGGGATCGCCAGTTAGAGGCCTTGGTGAAACCCAGAGAAGAGAGTAGGACATAAGCTTTAAGCCTAGGTCCGCCTCGAAGGAGGGACGCCTGGGGCCTGGCGTTTATCTGGTGGAGTCCTGGGAGCTCGCAGCGACAATCGCGCGGCACCGTGGCCATGATGGGAACGCTTGCGTGGTGGTCTGTGAATGCTCGGACCGAGCACCCAAGATTGGCATGCACCCAGCTTGGGCCGGGATTCCGAAGCCATTCAAGGAGTATTGCTGCCGAGAAGACTGCATTCGCGTGGTTGCCGTGGAGCTTGTCGACAAGCACACGAAAGCTCCAAACAGGCTGTAGGACTTTCTTTGGGAGCGGCGCCTCAGTGCGCACAAGTTGCGAAGTACAACGCGATGCGCTCCGAAAGTTGAAGGGCTCTCCTGGCAAAACTTGTTTCTTTGGATTCACCAAGTACATCAAAAACACATGGCCTGAACTTATGGTTCCATTTGTATGAAAATTCTGCAGCTGTCTTTCCAGCAGGGCTCGGGCGGATTCCTCGTGGACATTTTCGAAAATGTGCTTCGGAGAGACAATAAACGAGAGGCTGGCAAGTTGAATCATCATGTGACGATAGCATCCCGAATCTGTTTCGTTTATGTAGCGTGGAACGAGGCTGTGCCCCCTGATTCCCAATCGAAGTGGTGCCAATGACACGTTTTAAGCAAGACCATTGGACACTAGAATTCGCTATGCTATGAGTTCCCAAAAAGAGAATAGATGGCAGATTCGATGTGCAGTGGTGCGAACCTAATACTGGGTCTCCCGATTATCTTGCGCCATGGGCTTCAGCGCATGGCTGAACGAGAGCCGCGCTGCGTGGGAGGCAGGGCGAGCATGGGAGGCAGGGCGAGCGCCATATGCTTCTTTCAGTGGGTCTTGCTGGCGTTTTTGGCAAGATTGCTACAAAGTACATGTAGCTAAAGGCCCCGTAGGCGGCTCCCACAAAGCGAATGTAGCCTAACCAACCACAGAACGCACCCCATCAGCTTTGCATTTCGATGTCGTTGGTAATGTAATGTAATGTGATGTAATGTAATGTACTGTACTGTCATGTAATGTAATGTAATGTACTGTAATCACGCATGCATGTATGTATGTATGTATGTATGTATGTATGTATGTATGTATGTATGTATGTATGTATGTATGTGTGTATGTATGTATGTATGTATGTAAGTATGTAAGTATGTAAGTATGTAAGTATGTAAGTATGTAAGTATGTAAGTAAGTAAGTATGTATGTATGTATGTATGTATGTATGTATCTGTAAGTATCTGTACGTGCAATACATCATTTCAGACATTACAAAAATATCAAATCGTTTGCATTACATGAACTGCTATGATACTATATGGTACTGGCAACTATCCAAAGAGGCCTCAAGACTAGCAACCGCAAACTACCACTGCCGACGCCTGACATGCATCAACACAAACCCTGAACCCTAAATCTTAAACCCTAAGTCCTAAACCCCTGCCCCTCCATCGCTCATCTCTGTGTTAACCTCTCCTTACAAAGCTCCCCCCCCTCCACACACTCGTTTTGCTTTGCTTTTCACCAACCCAGCTCTTCCCCCCCCCCCCCCCCCGTTCCACCTCACGCACCTCACTCACCTCCCTCGCCTCCCTCACCTCGCTCACCTCCACTCACTCCCTCACTCACTCACTTACTCACTCACTCGCTATATAAAAAAAGGGTGTATATGTATATATATATATATATATGTATATGTTTGTCTATTTGTATCTTTAGACATATGTACATACATGAGGGCAAGCCTCAGCCTGCTCGAAGCTTCCAGGCGAAAATGGCTACAGAGAAGGCGCTGCCGTCAAAACGGCGGCGGCGCCAAGAGCCCGTTGAGAAGGTGCCTTGAACTTTTTGAGCTTGATGCTGCTCTTGGTTGAGTGCCGCAATCGGAAGCAGCAGGGTGACCGCAAGCAGCGTCGAAAAACAGCCTATCCTGCGCGTTAACTGTAGCTAAGGAACAAGCTGAATTGACAGCTCCACAAATTCATGCGCAATCTTGAGCAGGTTTACTGGTTCAGTGTTCTGGTAAGATGTGCTTGTGGCGCACTCAAATATGCAAGTTGGCTTTTGTGTTCATGTACGTGCGCTTTCCGCACCACAGTCAATTGTGCGTTCGGCATAGATTGTGACCGAGAAAGATAGCCAACACACACAGGTGCACCGTTCTGCGCCCTCATCCCGGCCCTTGTGTCGGCGCATCGGCGTATTGGCGTCGATACACCATTCCGCGGTCCACCCGATCCGTGCGCACCCGCATCAATACGAGTCACGGGCACCGACACTTCGGCCCCGGACCCCAACGGCGCAAGCCCGCACCGATGCACCGATGCGCGGGACGCCGATTCACCGAAATGCCGATACACAACTCTTTCTTTTGGCGCCCGCCCGTGCTGATACTCCGGCTTTCTAGAACAGCGTGCGCACGCACCGATGCACCCTGATTGGTGCATCAGCGTATCGGCTCCTTTCCGTTGCATTTCCCTTCCACCTGCCTCTGAACGGTGTAACAGCGTATCGTCGATTTCTTTTGCGCACGCGCACGCGCGCCCGAACGGCGGATCAGTTGGTTTCTGCGACATGGGAGGAGCAGCAACAGGTCCGGGTGTTGCAATGTTTGTTGTCGAATGCTGCAGAGGCGCAGCCGCCAAAACGGCGGAGGTGCCAGAACGTGCCAGGCTCAGATATTTAGCGGTTGCTGGGCTTAGGGCTGAGTGACTTATGAGTTCAGGATTCACTGGGTTTTTGGGGGCTGTTGGGGGTTGAGGGCCTCTAGTACTTATTAGCCTGCCTCCTGATGGCACAAACAATCCCAAGACTCTTCGAAACCCAGGGTTCTGGGATTTGGGTTTCAGTTCAGGGTTAAGCCCTTTGCCTCGAGGATGGCCCGCTCATCAAGATCAATTCTCTCGAGGTGGAGGAGGTCGAGATTCACGACGTTGCAGCTTGTCGCGGATGCAGTCTCGCGAGCTCCCTTTTACTGTGCTATACTGTACTATCTCGAGTGCTTGGGGTTACTGAACCTTCACTTGTGCACCCGAGCACAAACCCCGGGATGTTAGCTCCCTCGGTGAGTGTCGGGTCTGTGGCAGTTTGGGCACCAAGAGTCTTAGTGCTGTGTTGCCTGTCCTGCAGTTTGAGGTGTGGGATAGTAGGATGCGGATCCTTGCACGGGGAACGAGCTCGGCGTCCAAGGTGAAATGCGGATGTGCTTTTGCAGGAATTCGGACAGTTCCCCACAAGGTGGGAGGGACGAGCGCCAAAGTTTTTTGGTTTGTTCATGGCTCTAGGCATAAGGGTGACACGTGGAACATGGCCATCTGCAGCTCTGGCGTGGGCAGAAGTATTTGGTGTTTGGGGTCAGGTTTTCGGGACATAGGAGTTTGCGTTCGAGGCCACATCCATTCCCAAGTCAGGCCGTTGGAGGCCTCTATTTTGGATTTAGGGTTGGAGGCGGGGTCCGGACGTCCAGCAAAGTCTAGTCCCAAAAGTTGTGCCCGCAGGTGAACTACATTGCTCTCAACTCGGTCCAGTCGCCACAGGACATCATCGAGTGCAGGCCCCGCGGCGGCTGCGTCGTCCTGTCGGATTCACAGTTTCAGAACTGTTCGTCCTCAACCCGACAGCCCGACAGCCCTAGGCCCTAACTAGCCGGGTCCGAAGCAGAGGCTGTCTGTTGTCACTGTAGCCTTTTGCGGATTCCGCTGTGGACGCAAGAGAGGAAACACTGCAGAAATCCCACGAAGATCATCGCCAGGATCGAGGACGCAGCCCGCCTGTTCATGAAGCTTAGGTTTTAGGACTTCGGGAAGCTTAAATACCCCCCCAAACAGTGTGCCAACACTAGGGGTTTGTTTCGAAGTTCTTACTTGAAAAGTATAAGGATGCTAGATTGAGTTGCTTGCGCGGTGCGCACGACGCGCTCGCGAGATGCACGGACACTGTACGTCTGGGAACACACCAGTGGCTCCAAGTCGCTCTGTCGTGTCCCAGTGAAGCGTAATCCTTGAAGACTCCTTGAAGTGTTCTTATTAGTGAGCTCTTGGGAAGCTCTTGGGAAGCTCTTGGAGTTCTCGTGAGGGATGTTTGTTCTTCGAGTTTCGATGGAATGTCGTCTGGAGGGCTTGGAGTGCTCTTGGTGTATGTTTGGAGGTGCGTTTGGGTTTTGTGGTTTACGCTTGCACAACTCAACGGAGCAATAAGAACAGACAGCAAGATCCTGCTAGGGCCCCGCTTCTTCCTCCAAGCCCAAGATCCCAGCCCTCCCAAGCAAGGCCGCCTGTTACACCCTTTCGAAGCCTTCTCATCGAAAGCCCTTCCTAAAGGGCCCTAAGCCCTCAACCCCCAAACCCTAGAAAGCCAAAGCCCTGTTTGGAATTGCCTTCCTAGGTGGAGGGCATGCGCAACTTCGATGCCATCTTAAAGGAGGCTTCGGGAGCGGTCTTACGCTAAACTCTAAACCTTCTATGGGCGCTTAGGACTCAGAAGTGCGGGTGGGCCTTGCAACTCCTCTCAACCCTGAACCCCCTCAATAGCGATCCTGAAGCCAGCGTGCAAGGCCCGAAGGCCCTAAGCCTTAAACGCAGACCGAAACCTTGAACCCGCAACCCGAAACCCTACAACCCTAAGCTGGATGCCAGACCAACCCGAAACCCTAAAACCTCTGGGCTTGAGGCGTCCTCAAGCCCTAAATCTGTGCCAAGTGCATGAGCTGCTCGCGGCAGGCGGATGGCGTCATGGTGGCGCATGGCCGCTGGCCCTAGACTTTAAAAAGGGTTCGGGAGTTCGGGTTTAGGGTTTGTTTGGGGTTAATAATAAGGTCTTGTAGGAGTGGCGTGCAGGTTTCGAGCTCAGGGCTTCATTTTGGGGCGTCTACCCATGGGCCTCAGGCTTTGGCGAGGCTCTTGCATTGGGTTTCGGGTTCAGGGTCCCGAGAGAGGCCTCTAAGTTTCCGAAACATTCCACCCGAAGCCCTAGACGATTTGCCGATTTCGCCGGAGAGGGACGAAACAACGTCAGTCAGTTGATCGTTCAGTCGTGCCTCTATCAAGGATTCAGCGAAGGGGACACCGCCAGGTCTCCAAAGAGATCTAAGCCCTGGCCGCCACCGGCAGGAGGACAAGAAGGACATCCATGTCCCAGCGGTGCCGGGCTGGCACACGTGCCAGCCTTCATCCATCTGTAGCACCCTTTGGGGTTATTTTTTTGTTTCCATAATCCCCTTCAATGAACATTACATATGTTGTGTTTATTTGCTTCTAAGGTGCTGT